CCTGTGTCCTTGGAATGTTGTTGTTGTCGTCCAAAGTTAACTTTTCCTTCTTTCTTAGCCAGTAGTCAGCTTTTTGCTTTATTTTTTGTGGTATCAGTATTTGATTGTTTAAAAAAATTGCTTCAAAAGAACTGCAGTGGCTGGCCACCAGGACCTTGTTCGGATTTGCCTATTTGCTTGTAGCTAAAACCTTTCCATATTGTTTATCATTCTATTGAAGAAACTGCTGCCCAGTCAACTAAGAACTGAACATCTATCTGTCTAGGACACGGGGAGAGGATTTAGGTCATGTCTTTGTTTCCAGAAAAAAGTTCCAGTGTAGTTTCTAACTAGAGGAAAAGGGGGGGGGGGGGGGGGGGGGGGGTGAAGACGCGGGGCTCTGATGCCGTTGGGGGCACCCCGAGGTGCCCAGGAGAGGGAGCCCCACTGCGGTGCAGGAGCAGGTATGTTATCACGTACTAGAGAGCAAATTATAAATAGAAATATGAAAATTATAAATATAAAAATATTTTTTAGATCGTTAAAGAAAGCGGTTGTTTTTACTTGTCAATAGGCAGGGTTTTGATGATAAAAATGATAAATACAAAGAATATGAAGGTAGAAATCTAAGTCTAGAAATATATCATAAATACATACAGATAAAGTTTAAAACTAGAAGAAAAAATCAGTTGCAGCAGTAGATACGATACATAATATAGATAATACTTTTAATACATGTCTAGAATTTTATAGATATTATAGATCATTATTAATAGATTGCATCAAAATAAACTATAAATATAAATGTGAATATAACTATACAAAGTATAAAAATATTTCGATATCGTTTAAAAGAAGGTGTTTTCTTGTATTTCTTTGGTTAGAGATGGGGTTTTTCTTTGGATTAATAGAAGTATTCTAGAAATATAAATCTAACTGTAGAGAGATCCAATCGATAGAGGAGGCTATTTCTAAAAACACAACCGAACGCCGCCGCCTTCGGGGGAATCGCACGAGCTCGGCCGAAGCAAGGCGAGAGCGGCCGACCCTGACGGCCTCGAGCGAACCGAGGCGAGGCTTCCGAGGCTGCCTGAAGCGAAGCGAGCCGAGCTCAGGCGAAGCGAGCCTGCTGCTCTCGTGCGCGCTGCTTAGCGCCAGTGCGCTCCCAGCCTAATGAGCTCCTGCCCGAGCCCGCGCTCCCGGTCGTGTCCGCGCCGTGGCCGGGCCGCCCGCGGGACGCGGCAGCGGGAGAGCCCCGAGCCGGGCGAGCTGAACGGGAGGCGGCGGCGCTTGCCCGCCCGCCGTCGGGGAGCCGAGGCGAGGCGAGCGGAGCCGAGGCGCGCCGAAGGCACAGAGCGGCTGGGAGTTGGGCCGAAGCGAGGCGAGCTCGGCCGAAGAGGCGAATGCAGGCGCCAAGAGCCGAGTTGAGGCGCCAGTAGCCGACTCGAGCCGAGCGTCTCCGGAGCGAGCCGAGCTCCGCCGAGCGCCGCAGCATCCCGGGCAGGGCGAGGCGCCGGGCCGGGCTCGGGGTGCAGCCGGGGCTCTGGGAGGCTTCCCCGCCTGTCCCTCTCTCTAGCCCTCCTTCCTTCTCCCCGTCTTCGCCTTCTCTCGCTCCCTTTCCCCCATTCCCTCTCCCCCCGCAAAGCCGGCTCCTTCCTGTCCTGTCCCTAGCCCGCTACTCCCTTCTGTTCCCCCTGTCTCCTTCCTGTGCCCAGCCTCCGTGTACCCTCGTCCCGGGCTTTCCCTTCCCGTGCCGCTTTCCTGCACAGCCCGAGCTCCCTCGCCGCCCTTTGTCGTGCCCTGCTCTCGCTCCTCTCTTCCCGTGCCCCCTTTCCTTCTTTGCCCCGCAGCCGCGGGGCTCGGGCTGCCGGAGAATAAAGCCCCGAGGGCCGGAGCCCGGCGCCCCTGGGCCCTTGCGGGAGTCCCCGCGCGGGGCCGGAGGCTCTCGGCGGATCCCCCCGTGCCGCTCAAGCGGCGCGGCCGACAGCGCCGGAGCTGCGGCTTTGCCGGCATCGCGCTGAGAGCGGCCCCCGCTCCGTGCCGGGCCGTCCCCCGCCGTCTGTGCCGCTCCCTCTCTCGCTGCCCCTGGCCCGTGACAGCGAGGCTGGGCAGGAACCTCAAGCCTTCTGGGGGCTGCCCCCCCTTTCTTGTTGCAGCAGAATCCCTTGCTGGGGCCATGCACGTGTGGGAAGGGCTTGGGGGAAGCGCTGCGCTGCTGTCCGGGGCAGTCGGATTCGTTCGGAGCCTTCTTTGGGGGTCAGGGAAAGGCGGGGTGAAGACTCGGGGCTCTGATGCCGTTGGGGGCAGCCCAAGGTGCCCGGGAGAGGGAGCCCCACGGCGGTGCAGGAGCAGGTGGGGGGCGGGCGAGGGGCGGGGGTCACGCTGGGTGCCGTCCCCCAGAGGGACCCAAAGCTGCCACCAAATGCACAGGGAGGGGTGAGTGGGTGTAGGATGCTAAAACCTGGCAAGGCATTCGGTTTTCTAGGTATTGCTAAAGAATAGGAATTGGTCTCTAAACTCAGCTGGGGAGAAACCCTCTCTATGCACTCATTTGTTTACAGGAATGTAGAAGGTTCCGACTGGAGATGCGTAGTAGTTCTGAAGATACTGCCGTGAGGTTTTGATCTAGGAACGGAGCGAGCTGTGCCCTGGAACCCTCAGAACAGCTGCAGGGGCTGAAGGCGATAGAAAGGGCTCTCTGGCACCTTTTGCCTCCGTTCTCTGCCAGCGCCCAAAGCGTGTCGCAGTCCCGGAAGAGGCGCTTGTCATCCCGAGAGCCAAAAGGAAGACGTGTCAAATCCCAGCTCTGCCTTGTGTTTCGTGTGGGTTTTTTACTTCGTATTGATGTCATTCCAGAGAGCAAGGAAAGAAGAAATGGACCGGCTCCCACTATTACTGTGTGAAGGCTTTCTTGAAAGGCTGCTGTATTTCTATTGTCCTTTTCCACTCCAAGCTTGACTTTTGCCCTCGTTTTTCGAGCTCTGCTGCATTGGGTGTCCCAAGGAGGGCGGGGTTCCTCAGCAGGGCTCTTAGGAGGTGGCGCTGATTCTGCTTTTTCTGCAGGCGTCTCAAAGCGCGCTACCAGAATGACAGTTTTGTGCACTGGAAAGCTTTCCCTCAGTGCCATCAGCGCACGTCCGTGTCTGAATTGTGGAAGCAGACGGACTAAGAAAAGCCAGCACCCGGAGCAGATTTCTGTTGGCTCTGTGTCTGTGAGAGGCGGGCTGTGTGCTGGACGGGGAGAGGCGCTGTTGGAGAGTGGCATCAGCGCCAGGTGTGAGCTGTGAGGATGATGGGGGGCTCGGAGCAGCCCCAGGTGTGAGCTGTGAGGATGATGAGGGGCCGGCTCCTGCCGGGGGGGGGGGGGGGTGCGAGGCTGTTTTAGGGGGAGGCTTCGCCTCAGCTGCCTTTTGCATGGAGCTGCTGAGTAGAGGGGTTCATGGGGGGGGCTCCCGGGGCTGTCTCATGGAAGGACTGCGAGAGCTTCTCGCAGCGTCTGGGCGAACACCTGGATACGCGCTTGGATCCGCGGAGCATCGCTTCAAGGAGGTGCCGAGGGACGAATCTTTGTGCCGGGAAGCAGCAGCCGAACGGGTGAGCGCGTGTGGATTTGGAGCGGGGACTTTGGTCCTTTCCCTTTTCAATTGGATCTTGGCAGTCCCCCCTCCCCGCTTCCCCAGGAACAAAAAGGGAGCCTGTGAAGACGAAAGAAATGAAGGAGAGGCAAGCAGCTACTCTCCTAATCTTGTCTGTGTTGGAACGGGGGGGGATCCGCTTTCGCTTGCGGTTCCAAGGATGTCGGTTGAAGGAAAAGCTGCCTTTTCCCGGCTGTTAGGGGTATCCCAGGGGTGACAGGGAATCCCTGCGTTCCATTTGAACGGGAATGGGCAAAGTATTGTTGTCATCGGATGGCTTTGATTTGAAGGTAGCCAGCCCATTTTCATCATCCTAAGGTTTAAATGGAGGGGACAGCGCTGGTGTCCCTCCTTTGCAAGGGTTTGAATGGAGGTCAAAATCCCCCTTTGCACATGGCTTGAAGGATTTCATTGGAGGAAAGCCCCTTCTTTTCTGCTCTCCTAGGGGATGAACTTGAAGGGGAGAAGCCATTTCTTTGCCCTTGTTGAAGCGAGGTGAGCGCCGCCCGCGGCGTCAGTTTCGGGGTTGAGTTGCGGGAAGCCGCAGCTCTGGCGGCGTTTGCAGGGCTGCAGTCGGGCTGTGCCGCTGCATTTGAGGGCGCTTCTTGTGGCCGCGGCCCGGGCCGGAGCGTTGCCGCTCGGGAGCGCTGCCGGCCCGGGCCGGGCGGGTGCCGAGGCGCACGGGGAATTTGGCGCGGCAGCGGCGGAGCCGCTTTGCCGGTGCGAGCCGCCGTGCGGAGCCGAGGGCAGCTGGCGCCGGGCCGGCCAAGGGCGGCAGAGGCGGCGCGGGCGCTGCTGCGCCGGCCCGGCCGGTGCCGGCCGCTCTGTCCGCTCCGGGCGCGGGGCTCGGGCGCCGCCGGGGCCCCCCGGGCAGGGGGAGCGGGCGGGGGCGGGGGGGTCTCCGGGGCGGCGCCGCCCCTGCGCGCCGGAGCAGCCGCCGGAGGAGCCGCTTTGCCGCCGGGAGCCGCGCTCCGTCCGGGGCCGGCAGCGCGGGGTTGGGCTGCCGCAAGTTCTTGGGTGTCGCGGTTCGGAGGTGGCTTTGTAGGGATCGATCGCACGGGTTTGTTCTGGTCGCAGTGGGTGTGCGCTAAGGGCTATGGCGTTCTTCCTGACCGGTACGGTTCTCGGTTCGGGTGGTGACGATAAAGGTTTGGTTTGAATCGAGTTCTGTAGTCGGATATAACCGAACAGCCCCTATCCGAATTAGGCCGAACCCAGCTCGGCCGAACTGAAATTCTGCTGAATTTGTATTTCCCGATGTGTAAAGTGACAAGGACTCTGCTGTATTCCAACACACGAGCAAGAACAGCAACAAAAGCTACTCCTGAGGTTAATTTACCCCCATGGAGCCGGCCAACACCACAAAAGGGAAAGACACTGACAGTAAATAGGCAATATTCTTTATTGTTTTTTTCCACCGCTCCTTGGTGGCTTTCCTTAAAAACATTACTGACGCCTTGAGCATGTCCCGCAGCATTCCCAAACTTCAAACTGCTGGGATCGCAAAGGGATTCCAACACATTCCGCTGGCGCGCGCTCGGTCCTTGCGCCAGGATCTGCCCCGGGTGCTCTCGTGCCCGTTAATTAGCGCGAGCGCAGTCAGTGCCTAATGAGCTCCTGCCCGAGCCCGCGCTGCCGTTCGTGGCCGTGCTGAAAGGAATGAGAAGGAGGTGTCTACAAACAGTGGGGCTGCTGGTAGGGAAACCCAGACACTGAGAGGTGAAAGAAGCAATGACCGGAACCGTAAATTCCAGAGGAATTCCGCTAATTGACAGAGACTGCTGGTCACCCGAGCCCGAGCTGAGTCCCTGGACTTGAAGAGAAAGAACACGCACAGAGGAAGGGGGGGGGGGATGCACATCAGAAGGCGGTCTGTATCAGGCGACTTGGGGAAGTTTCTACCTCCCAAGTACCTCAGCAGATGGGGAACAGAGGGAAATGCGTCCGAAAAATTAGGATAAAAAGGAGGCTGCGTCCTCCAGCAACTTGAGACACCCCATGGGAAATGTCCATGGCCTCTCCCTTTATTCAAATAAAGTTACAAGACTCCAGTGTCTTCTTTTGGACATAAACTTACGGTGTTTGTGGAATAATTTTCCTGACAGTGCGACAGTCGGACCGCCCCCGGGACGCGGCAGCGGGAGAGCCCCGAGCTGGGCGAGTTTAACGTGAGGCGGCGCCGCTTGCCCGCCCTCAGGGAGCCGAACCGAGCCGAGTTCAGCCGAGCCGAGCTCAGGCGAACGGAGCGAGCGGCTCCGAGTTCAGCCGAACTGAGCCGAGCTCAGGCGAACGGAGCGAGCGGCTCCGAGTCCAACCGAGCCGAGCTTGGCCGAATCGAGCCGAGCTCAGCCGAACCGAGCTGAGTAATTCAAAAAGCAGAAACAAGCCCCAAAGTCTCAGCAGCAGGGCCGGCACAGGGAAGCAGGGTTGGAATTTTCTTTGCTATGCTGCAGGTGTATTCAATATATGTATCATTCCTCTTTGTTTGACAGAAAGAATACCAAAAATAAAATTCTTACCAAAACAGGATGTTTTCTTTCCTGTCTATCCAGCAGCCAAATACCACCAGCTAGCTATCCATATCTTAAAATCAGCTGGAGAACTGACCTCGGCCCAGACAGAATCACAGAACTAAAATTGAGATAAGATACACCTGAAAAAGCCTTTCATGCTGGATGTTAATGCACATCATTGAGGCCAATGTTAATGCTCTGCATCCCAGCAGAGTGATCATCAGCTGCCTTGGCAGGCAGATGGGTTTGGAATCTGTGGTTCCTTTTGTCTTATGTCTGTGGGATGGTGCAGTGCTGACAAAAGGGACTGGGACATGGAGCCCTCCCTGCAGGGCTTGTACAGGCATCAGCCCTCCCCACTCTGCCAAACCCACCCACCAAAACTGGCATCCCATCACCGGGGACTGCAGGGAAGCGTGTGCTGCAATGGGATCATGGATTCCAGTCCAGGAACTCTCCCTGTCTCAGGATTCAGCTGTGCCTTCAGGGGACACTCGCCAGTGCCTTGTTTCTGTGCAGATGTGAACCAGGGACGCTGCTCTGGAGGGCACTGGGCCCTTGCCTAGGGAGGTCACCCTTGGTGTTACCCACTGGGGGAGGACCAGGGGTGTTGTGCACGGCCAAAATGGCATCAACGCTGCATCAAAACGGGTGGGGGGGATTCTGTCCCTCTGCCCCACTCAGGGGAGACCCCACCTGCAGAGCTGGTCCAGCACAAGAAATCTGTGGAGCTGTTGGAACAAGCCCAGAGGAGGCACCAGGGCTGATCCAGGGCTAGAGCCAGGCTGGCAGAGCTGGGGGTGCTCCCCTGGAGGGGAGAAGGCTCCAGGGAGAGCTCAGAGCCCTTGCAGGGCCTGAAGGGGCTCCAGGAGAGCTGCAGAGGGACTGGGGACAAGGCATGGAGGGACAGCACCCAGGGAATGGCTCCCACTGCCAGAGGGCAGGGATGCATGGGAGACTGGGAATTGGGAATTGCTCCCTGGCACAGGGTGCCCAGAGCAGCTGCCTCCTCTCAGCAGGACATGGGTGATCTGGGAGAGCACAGGGGCCCTGGTGTCCCTGGGCTGGCAGAGATGGATGAGCACAGAAGGGATGAAGGTGAAAGCTCTCCAGCCTTGGCCGGTGACGTGAGCGGGCGTTTGCTGCGTGAATACATCGGGATTATCACCAGCAAACAGACGTGGGGTTTCCCCACAGACACTGGGTGATTGTCATGCCAAGGGCAGGGCAGGGGGTGACACAGCAGAGGGGGGTGGCAGGGCAGGGGGTGCAGGTCTACACTCGTGGCTTCTTTCCAGCACCACGCTGGGTTTTGGTGCTGGAACTGGGGGGAGTGGAATTGACGTGGGGCTGAGAAAACAAACAGAACTCGACCAAAAAGGGCAAGTTTTGTGTGTGACTGGGTTTAATACTTCCTTCAGTCCTAAAATTGTTTTCTCACAGTATGTTTCAAGCCTAGGAAAATGATAACATAGGATGGTTTCAAAGCCTAAGCAAATCTCACTGAATGCTGGTTTTCATTAATGATTCCGGGGCACTCCAGAAAACATTTCTAGACTTGCCTTGTTCACAATGGCTCCTTTGATGGCCAAAATAAATACATGAGGGATAAATATGTGCATTTTTAGCCAAGTATTTCGCTCAGTAACACGATGAAAAAGCGAAAGAAACTTTAAAAATCAATACTTTTTTAAGTCTTGCAAACACTCTGAGATTTTCATGTACACAGACTTCTCCTGCCAGTTTCTTAGGAACAGTAAATTGTTGGTAACATGCCTCTGTTACCCTGCCATTTCATGTCCATTTCCATGTCTGTTGTGTTGTTAGTCTGCCTCCTGCTTTGTGGTTTGTTTGGGTAAACTGCCTTTTTTTGAATTGTTTTTGTTACCTTTTGTGAGCATGCCAGAGGCCCTAGGGTGCCAATAAATGAGAATGTTAGTGCTCCTTCTGACTGCTGTTTCCCTCTGCTTGCTTGTAACCTGATCCTGAATCTCTGGCCAGCCTGCTGAGCTGAATTTTCCTGATCAGAAAAGGAGGAGCAGTGGGTCAAGAGACCCTCCAGCCAAATACTGACAGGAAAAACTTTACCTCTGTGCAGTTATAAACGTTCTGTGTGACGGCTGCATCACTCGAGGCAGTGAGTGTTTCCCACAGGTTGTTTTTTCACACTGGTATCTACTTGCTTTATCTCTGATTATTCTTGCTTTATCTCTGGTTATATTACTTTACCTCTGGTTGTACTCACTTGGCTGGTGTTGATCCAGAGCAGGACATGCACAGCAGAACAAGGAAAAGGAACGTGACGAAGGCGGCGAGGCCGACCCAGAAGGCGATGACGATGGAGTCTGTGGGCACAGCAGAGGGGTTCTGGCATTTGGCACGGCAGAAATAAAACACTGCAAGGTGATTCACCCTCCCTACTACAGGTATGTCACCTGACTCATTTCTCCTTTCAGAGAGAGGGGTCTGAGTGCCAAGTTGTTAAAGGGAGCCTCCTAGCAGTGCCTGGCGATGGGGATGAGGGAGGGAAAAGCCTCTGGAGTGTCCTGGTGCCCAGACCTGTGCAGGTAACTCAACGTGGCTCCTGTTACACAACCACAGGGCAGGAAGCCTGAGTGGTCACTGCAGGGTCCTTGGGGAGAGGCCCTCAGGGAGGGAATCCCAGCCCTGGAAGGTTTTATACCAGGAGGAATAGCAAGGGGGGTTTGTGGCACAGGGCCTGTGCCCCTCCCAGCACATCAGGGCAGGGGAAGGGAAGGTGCCCCTTGCCCTGCAGCCTCCGTGGAGGAGGGCAAGGTGCTGCCTGCTCTGCCAGGAGCAGATGGTTTATCTGAGGAACACATTGCCAGTGCCCAAGTGTGCCCACAGCGGGAAGGAGAGGTGAGGTGGCTGGGGGAGCAGAGGGAGCTGCTGTCCCACACAGGCTCCAGTGCTGTGCCAGCTTTATTGCTGAGCCCTGGGCTCACTGTGACTCTGCTCCTGCTCTCTCCCACAGGCTGCAGTGCTGTGCCAGTTTGATTGCTGAGCCCTGGGCTGTGGATCTGCTCCTGCTCTCTCCCACAGGCTGCAGTGCTGTGCCAGTTTGATTGCTGAGCCCTGGGCTGTGGATCTGCTCCTGCTCTCTCCCACAGGCTGCAGTGCTGTGCCAGTTTGATTGCTGAGCCCTGGGCTCACTGAGGATCTGCTCCCATCCCCAGGGCACCTTTGGCCACTGTTCCACAAAGGCTCCCTCCCTCCTGGGGCCACTGTGCTGCTGGCCTTGGGAAGTCTGGGTGCCCTGCCCTGGATTCACAGCAGATGAGGTGGAAAAAGAAGGGTCACTGGCTCCAGGACAAATATTGACCGAGATAAAATAAATCTTCCCCCTGAAAGTACAGAAAACATTGTGTTCTCTGAAACAGGACCGGATGTTTGATTGAGCGTTTCTTTGTGAAAAAGTTCAGGATGTGTTGGCATCAAAGGCACAAAGAGATTAAGGGAATTAGCCCAGCTGATTCCTTTTAAACCCAAAACTAGAGCTGGCCCAGCTCTGCCCTTATCAGAAACCTGAGTTTGGGCTGGGCTACTGAGAAATATCAGTGGCAAGGGGCAGCCTGTTTTGTTCTTCCTTTGCCCAGGGACATTTTGAGAAGCCCAAGTTTTGAAGTGTTCCACACCACTGGGACAGAAATTAAGAGTTTGATTTATAGAATTCCCTCTCAGAGCTGTTTTGGCTTCATTTTTTAAAAAGAGTTTTAATAGATTTCATGGAATTCACTGAAGCTAAATAAATTGGCTCCAGGGCTCACGTGGAGCTTGAACCAAAATTTCCTGGGTTTAAATTCTGCAGTTAGTTGGGTTCTGTTTATTTGTTTGCTTGGTTTGTTTGGTGTTCTTGATTTGTTTGGTGGTTTTTTTTGTTTGGTTGCTTTGGTTTTTAACTGGAATAACGTATTTTCATATTTTACCAATGTATTAAAAGCTTTCCTATTGCTAAATTTTACCATCACCTTTAGTGCATGTGTGTGTGTATGCTTTTTAAATAGCCTATTAGATCATGGGCCAAATAAAATTTTTCCTTATTTTCGTGCAAAATTGAGAGATGCATAACACTACAAATAGAAAGCAAGACCATGGCTTTTTATCTGGGGTTTAGATTCATTTTTATGAGACAAATTCAGTCTCAAAAAGATTCAGGACCAGCCACGTAACAGAGGAAAAGAAGTGCAGAGATTCAAGTCTATGTCTCACATTAAAAGAATAAAATAAAACCCTAGGAGGCCAAAACTGAGAGCACACAATAATCCCAGCACCAGCAGCTTCTCTGGGTACAGGAATGTAAATATTGTGCAAGGACAGGCAAAGTATATTCATTGCTTGACTGGTACTTTTACTCCAACAGTGAAAAATCCCAGGCAGCTGTGGCATTGTTTCCCCTTGGTGTTTTCATTAGCACTTGTAAGCCACTGTTCTCCCACTGGGATTTGGAGAAGAAGGATGATCGGACCAAGAGGATGCACTCCCTGTTCCTCCTGGGCTGCTGACATGGAAAAATGTCTATTTTCATCTTCTCAGAATATAAAAATGCCTGAAAGGTGGCAGACTTCTCTACTGCTTGCAGGGCTGGGGGCCAGAACAAGTGGGACTGAAAAGTCATTACAAGATCAGTTTACCCTGCTTTTTAATGGAAATAAGGCTGATGAGATCACTCATAAGCACATATGGGGTAATTTCCTCCACAAAACTGTCAACAAATTGAAATTAAATTTCAATTTTTTGGGGTTTTGCTACGCCAGCCACATGCCAGAGACTTACATCTAGCTCAGCTCAGCAGTTTGGGGTTTTCCTAGTGGAATCTGGGGGTAATCATCTGCCCTAACTTTAAAACTAAGAGAATTAGATGAGCTGCTCCTGGTCCCAGCAGCAGCAAATGTTGCTCTGCAGCATTAGAGAGCAAGATTTTCTGTATGGAGGGATGTGGATATTCACACAACTTTCTTTAAGGTGTGGTGCTCTGAGTTTGGAGGCAATAAACCCTTGGCTGATCTGAATGCACAGAAAAGCTTTTCTAGAGGAAGTTTCTGCTCCTTTTCCCTACTGCTGTCTGAGCAAGCGAAGGACAAGCAGCTCCTAACACAGAATTCAACTTTCACCATCAGAAAGGCAGTTTCTTGCATTGTTAGTGAGAGAGACATGAAGGTCTTCTGAAAGGCCACCACATTTTCCTGGGATATATAATAATTGCACTGTAAAAACCTTGGGAAAAACAATTTTAGTTTCTGAATCCTCATCTGAACAGTTTCAGCCATCTTCAGGGATGGGAGGGAAGGTCAAAGAATATGTTTGCAGCTTATTGTTCCTGGCAAGTGGAAACGTACATTTCCTTTAGTAAAAGTCTGAATGCTTACCAGTTGCATTGTCAGCCTTGTCCCTGGATGAAAACACAGTGTTTTTATGAAAACCTCTGCTCCTTCAGTGAACTCTGGTGGCAGTAGCACACAGGTCACTAGCACCCCGCGCTACAAATTCACAAGTAATCACATTTCCCCTTAGCAAATGACCCCAAAAAAATCTGTCCCTGTAAACAAGAATTAGTGTCAGCAGTCTAATAGCTTCAGATACTGTAAGATAAAGCCCAAAGTGTTTGTTAGTAACTATCGAGCCTGAAGGCAAACACCCATTCACACAAACCAGGCACTGGCATAGACTCTACTGCAAGGAAACAAAACCAGGTCAGTGAGACAAGCAGCATTTCCCCTGTGCTAGATTAGCATCTACCACTCCACAATACTTACATTTATTAACCTTCAGTTTGCTTCCATCGACTGGAACAGGGTCTATGTAATCCCAGTAATATTCATAAGACCAGAAGTACTCGGAGGAGTTGGTGCCGTTGGCCATGTCAGTGGTGCCTCTTCAGCCAGCCCAGCACTCCGACCCAGAGCTTTGCCTCATTGTGCTGCATTGGCCTCGGAAGGGGAATTGCACAACCGCTGCCTGTGCCAATCGCTGGGGTCCCGCGGCTCAAGGACTGCCTGGGGACTGGGAACATCCCGCGGCAGTTCAGTGAGACAGAAAAACATTCCTCGGGCTGTTCTAAACTGAGACGGGCGCCCTGTAACCCAGGGACAGGGTGGACAGGTGCCAGCTGGATCACAGGCCCTTCCCTCAGAGCAGTGCTCTGCCCTGGGAGCTCCTGGGCACGGCCGGGCTGGAAAACATTCCCCAATGTGTCTGATGGAAAGGGCTGGGTCTGCAGGGGCCACGCCAGGAGTGGCTGAAGGCCTCTTCAGCCTGGAGGGGGCCGAGGTCAGGGCTCACCGGGGCTGCGGCTCCTCCTGAGGGGCAGCTCCGGACTCTGCTCCCCGTGGCCAGGGACAGCCCCCAGGGAAGGGCTGCAGCTGAGTCTGGAGGGATTTAGGCTGGATTTTAGGGAAAGGCTCATCCCCAGAGGGTCCTGGGCACTGCCCAGGCTCCCCAGGGAATGGGCACGGCCCCACAGAGCTCCAGGAGCATTTGGAGAGCTCTCCAGGGATACTCAAGGTGGGATTGTTGGGGTGTCTGTGCCTACAGGGGCGGGACTGGATGATCCTTGTGGGGCCCTTCCAGCTCGGGAAGTTCTCTGAATTAGGAGTGACTTGATAAAACGCTTCATGTACTGGAATACCCACATCCTTTGCTTTGGTTCCACGACCTTACGAGGTCCAAACGCCCCCGGGCAGTGCTGAGGCGGCTCCGGGAGCAGTTCCGGGGCAGCCTCGGTGCTGAGGCGGCTCCGGGAGCGGTTCCGGGGCCGGCCCCGGGAGCGGTTCCGGGGCCATGTCCGGTGTCACTGCCGCTTCCTCGGCGGGAGATTCGAAGGCGATGCTGGGGGCGGGTGCCTCGGCGGGCGAGCAGGACCCTCTGTCGCTGTGCCCGGCGCTGGAGGAGTCGCTGTCGCTGCTGGAGCCGGGCGCCGGCCGGGCGGGGCGGGAGCGGGCGGACGAGGCGCCCATGCCCATGGTGTTCCTGTGCGCCGGCTGCCGGCGGCCCGTGGGCGACACGTCCAGCTGGGTGTCCAACGACGAGGAGAGCGGCTGCATCCTGCTGCGCAGTGAGTGCCGGCCCCCCGCCCCGCGCCTCCCTCACGGCCGCCATCCCTCCCTCCTTCCCTCCTCCCCTCCCGCTGCAGGTGCGGCCGCCAGCGTCGCCGTGGACCCGGAGCGGAAGATCTCCAACCTGCCCGGCGAGTGCGGATGGTGAGGGCCGGCCGTGGCTGGGCACAGCCCCGGGGAGGTCGGGGGTTCCCGGGGACAGGCCCGGTGGAGGGCCCGGAGTGCCGGTGTGGCCCTGGAACACTCCTTTGTGTGCTGAGTACTTTGTGGCCTGAGGCAGAGGGATTTCTCACAAGGACATGCAGTGGTGGACAAGGGGAATGGCCTTAGGATGAAGGAAGGCAGGTTTAGATTAAATATCAGGAAGAGTTTTTTCCTGTGAGGGTGGGCAGGCCCTGGCCCAGCTGGGGCTGCCCCTGGATCCCTGGCAGAGCCCAAGGCCAGGCTGGACACTGGGGCTTGGAGCAGCCTGGGACAGTGGGAGGTGTCCCTGCCGTGGCAGGGGTGACACTGGATGGGCTTTAAGGTCCCTGCCACAATTTAGTGATTCTGATGGTCTTGCTGAGGTCAGTCAGCCTGAGAAGCTGCTGCAAATTCAGGCTGAAAGATGAGTGCTCATAATTTACACTGTGTAAAGCAAGAATGAATGCTTAAAAAATTATAGTGCATGATTGTTTGGGGATATTTTTGTTTTGTTTTGTTTTTTAAGGAAAGGGATGGGGTGAGGTGCTTCCTTTTATTTTTTCTTTTTCCTGAATCAATGTTATTTCTCACTTACAGCTTAGTAGAAACCTTATTCTGCTCTGGCTGCTCAAAGACACTTGGTAGCATCTACAGGTGCACCTCGAGGAGCCTGGACTACAAGAGAGATTTGTTCTGTTTCACTGTTGACTCTGTGGAAAGGTAAGTACAGAATGTTTGTGTGCCAGCTCCACTGCCCTCACCAGGCACTGCACTGAGGCCTCTCCTGCTCTGTCTCTGGGAAGTGCAGACGTGGCTTTTGCTGCTGCTCTGCCCCAGAGTGGTTTTCTGAATTGCTGCTGTTGGCATCACAGTGCTCAGTTCTGAGGAGCATCACCTCTGTAAGGCAAATCCTAGGAAAAAGAAAAAACCAAAACAGCCAGGTCTGCCTTTTGTGTGAGAAATTGCATTCCTGCCAAGCAAATACCAGCAGGTGCAGGGCACGGGAGGAGGGTCCCTGCTCATTTTCTCTGAGGAGTGCACAAGCCAAGCCCCAGCCAGGCCTGTCTGGAGCCCCTTTGGGCTCAGCATTTCCAGCAGGCAGCGTGGCCAGAGGGGCTCAGGCAGCACTTGGGGCAGGTCTGCCCTGTGCTGGCCACATCTGCTCTGTCTCTGGAGTGGGCAGAGGCAAATCTGACACCTGAGCATGTGCCTGAGGCTCTCACTCAGCCGTCTAAAATCTGTCTAGAAAATGGAAGTGTGCTGGGGTTTAGTTGGTTTACAGCACTTGAAAGTGGTCTTAAGGCATTGTTCAGTAACTATATAGTGAATCAAGGCTTTGTGCCAGAGTTCCTTCATGCAAGCATTGTTCTGATGGACACCTGAACTAGTTTTAATGTCCAGTGTTCACCTGAACTAGTTTTAATGTCCAGTGTTCACCTGAACTAGTTTTAATGTCTCTGTTTCTTTCTGAGGTTCCCATTCATTTTGCTGTATTGCTGGGGATGTTCACCCTCGTGCTCTGGACAGTGCTTTTGGGTTTTTTTCTTAATTCCACAGCTATGATACCTTATTTTTTGGCAGTAGAATTCCCTAAAGCACTGACCTGGCTGCAGAATGCACTTTTCTTGGAGAGTGATGCTGCTTCTGCCTCCCCGCCAGCCCTGCACTGCCCTCGGTGTCTGTGCAGTTTTTCCCTGCAGCCCAGAGTCCATGGCTGTCTCTCTCCCGGGGCTCTGGAGGAGAGCTGTGCTGGGATTTTGGCTTCAGGGGGGGAATCTGTGCATGATCTGAGCTGTGGCATCTCAGCTATATCCTAGGCACCCCGGGAAAGCAAGCTGTCATCCATGAGGAGCCACTGACTCTGGAAAGTCAAGCTGTCTTGGAAGAGGTGCTGGAAAGGGTGAGATTTAACCTTAGAATCAATAATTTGTGTGATTCACCTCTGTGAAACCTGAATGTGCTCCAATAGTTTCTGCAGAGCAGCTTATTTCACCCAGAGTAATTCAGTGCATTGTAGCATGTACTGGCCTGCTTCATGTCATTGGAATCCTGTGTTCTGCAAGATTTCCATAACTTTCCTTCCATTTTCATGGGAATTAGCATTTTCTGTCTATCAAGCACAGCATTAGGTTCCTGTTTACGTCTCAGTAATTTGATATGTTGTTTCTAGGTAGTTCTGATTCACTTCTCCAGATCTTCACTTCACTTTTAGCCACGTTTCTTCTGCCTTTTGTGCAAATGGACTGAATGCTTTTGCTGTAGCTTTGTATTGAAATATAACATCATAAATCAGGCTGATGTTTTGCTCTACTAAAATCTGGTGACTGCAGGTGGGAAGGGCTGGGAGCAAATAGCGTAAGGAAGTTGGAAACTGAAGGTTGTCCAGCAGAGGCTGAGTGTGTGGCTCTGACACCAGGGCTGGAAAAAGTGGACAGTGAGTGTTAGAGCTGGGTGAGCTTTCACAGGATGAAAGGGGCAGGGAACGAGTCAAATGAAAGGGATTGGTGCTGTGAGATGAGACTGCAGCCCTTTGTGACACCCACAGGTGCCCTTGGTGTGTGTGTGACCCCGCTCCTGGTCCTTTTGCAGGTGGACATGCTGTTCAAGGCTCTGGAGACAAGGCTGAGCACTGTGGAGTCGCGTGTGGCTGCTCTGCAGAGGCAGGTCTGACAGGAAAGCCCTGAGCTGCAGGAGAAGGGCAGAGGTGAGGGCTGGCCCTGGGATCCTCCCTGGGAGCTCTGCAGGGACTGTGGGCAGCTGGAAGCCGTGGGTGGAAGCTGTGGGCTGGGGAGCAGTGCTGGCCAAGGCTGGGTCCCAGCCAAGGAGCTCTTCTTGTGTCCCTGAAGGGGAAACCCCCGGGGTTCTTAATAAACACTTCTGATCAGACCATCTGTACACTTCTGCTTTAATGGAAATACTGATTTAAATGTTTGTCCCTGGAAGCAAAGCGTTGATCTCCTGACTTCCCTGCTATTCAGTATCTACTGAAAGTGCTGGGCATTTTCCTAAGCTAATGGAAAACCTCCCTGTGGCTCTGGGATTTCCAAAGGAACAGCATTAGGGTTTTCTTGTCTCCATGGCTTTAGCTTGACTCGTGCTCAAAGACAGGAATGATTCAATAACTATATGTGGTGAATTGTTAGTTTGGCAGGGGTTTTTTGCAAGTTCAGGGCTAAAATGTGATGTAAGAAAAGGCTTTTTTTGCAGCATTAGATTTTTGCAGCATTGCAGCTTTTCAAGCTTTCCAAGTCACCTCATTCCGATTTAAACTCTCTTGAAATATGCTTAATATGTTGGGTTTTTTCATTGTTATTTTTGTTGTTGGTAGGTGGTTTTTTTGTGTTTTGGTTGTTTTTTTTTTTTTTTTAATTTGGTTTTCTTTTTTGGCTTAGGAAAATTTAACAGATCTTACTTTTTCTCCTCCAGTTGAGTGTAGTGTTATCTTCTTAATTCCAAAACCCTTTGCTGTATGGAAAACCCTCTTGCCTTGTGAAAGGACAGGTAGGAGCTGTTTCAATGGCCAGTGCCACAGCAGTGCCCTGTGGCACAGAGGTTCCCAGGAGTGGGGAGCCCTCTGCCAGCAGACACACCTGGCCAGGTGCCTGCGGATGCTGCTGCTGTGCC